CTCTCTCTCTCTCTCTCTCTCTCTCTCTCTCTCTCTCTCTCTCTCTCTCTCTCTCTGATGCGGACAGTCGGTCATCACACACCAACCCACAAAGTTGTCACCCCGCTTAGTCCTCCTGTGCCCGTCGGTTTCGCCCGCGCGCTACAGTCCGTGGTAGCCCCACGCGTCAATCCCGCACATTCGGCACCAGCTCGTCGGGTCGCCCAACTCCCAGTTCAACTCACCTCTTACTTTGCTCGTGAGCCGACCCTCACTGAAACCCCGAGCTTCCAGCAACCGTTTAAGAGAGCTATTTAATCGCGCAACCAGAATTTATAGCGTGCATGCATGTGCGAAGAACTCGGAATTGCAAGGACTTAGAAAGAGAGAAGGAAAGGGATTGCCTACGTTCTGCATGGCCAGATCGCGACATGGGGGACGTAGCCACTCTCCACTCATCGATCCGATCATACAGCCCGTGGGCTAGACAGCCACAGTAAAAAGGAAAAGAGAGGGCGGGAAAGACGAAGCTCAAGAAGAGAGATAAAGTTACAATGGCACCCGCCCAAAAATTACAATTACACACAAGATTAAGGGCGCCGACTACTTAGAGCTCCGTTGCAGCCGCAAAAAGAAGCGAGCAAGTAAAAGCAACGCGCGGCAAAAGAAATCCTGAATTCCTAAATTCCTAAATTCCTACATTCCTAACTAATTGCAAAAGGAACTTCAATAAAGCACAAATTCCGAAAAGAAAGTCCGATATTCTGAGAGCCGTCAAGGCTCGACAAAATCATAAAAGGAATATAAAAGGAAATTCAAAAAGAAAACAAAAAATTCTCGCGCGATCTCCGCGCCTAAAATCCGATAACGGGACAAAAAGTGGCGACGTCAACCATTATTAATCGCGCGCGCGGCAGCGCGCCACTCAACTGATCACCCTGGGACTTACTCATCCCTGAACCCAGCCCTCCGAAAAGAAGCGACGTAAAAAGACGAAGAGGCGAGGACACTGATGCAATTTTCCTTTGATCCCGATCTCCCGTAATTGGTCCAACTTCCCATCTCAGGACCCCTCATTGTGATCGCACAGAAAATCGCGTGGCACAGAAAGTGGTTCGTCACATATGTGATGCCTAGGGGGTTCCAATCTTAAGCAAGCTCCCGCTTGCTTGACATCACGACATGTGTCAATCTCTCTAATCGATCGACACGCGAAGCTCTCTACATTGCCACCTACTGTGCGAAAGAGTGTGGAAGTCATGTAACGTGGCAAAGGTGACTTTCTCCTATAAATTCCTCAGGAAGGGCTCGCTTTAATCCAAGGAGGGAATCGGGCGTGCCATCGCGGTGGCATGCGCCAATCAACCGTGCATCAATGACCGGTAGGGAGGGGAAAGGGGAGGCGATACATGGGGGCATGGCGAGGGGGTGGGTTAGTCGGGAGCGGGGGTAGGAAACTTTCCATTCCCGCCACTGTCACCGGAAGCTCCTGATATCGGATTATCCATCCGATGAAAGCGAGGGAATCGGGTACCACTATGAGGAAGGGACGCGAGATAGTCAGGGTAGAGGGTGGTGAAGGTTCGGAAGAGTGCTGCGCGGAAGCGATCGTGCTTTTCGCATGCGGGGATAGTCCCCGTAATCATAAAGTAGACCTCGATTATGTTGTGGCCCCGCCACGCGGCACTGAAGAGAAGGACATGAAGACAAAAGACAGGGGTGACACATCGAGTAGAGGGATACGGGTGTACCGTAACGGCAAGGCGGGTGGCGTAGAAAAGGCGGAAGGTGTCGATCGGAAAGGGATTGCGGGGAAAAGTGACGTGGGTGGTGATCTGTCGGAAAGTGAGGTAGTCAAGGGGACGACGGGATAAGGACCGGGGACGAAGCCCGATGCCCCACATCGGTACGAGCTCGAACTGCTGGACGAGTGGAGGTGGAGGGGGAGGGGGATCGGCTTCGCCGCCGCCTGGCCGGTGCGCTCAAAGTCTCGGCAGCAGGGTCCCCATCCTCTGGCTTGGGCGGCTCTGGATCCTTGGTTGGATCGTTTGAGATTGGCAGATCCGTTGCACTTGCGTACTCTAGCGGCTGCTTACCGGCCGCGATATCTTCTCCGTGCCGCGCCACCGCCTCTGGCTTGGGCGTCTCCAGATCCTTGGTGCGGTCCGCCTCCTCGCCCAAATTTTCCCACTAAGACTCCTCTTGTTCCTCGTCCTCTTCTTCTTCTTCTTCGCTTTGCTCTCCCTCGCTATGCTCGTTGTAACTCCCTTCTTCTGGGGTTTCTTCTTCTTCTTTCTCGCCATCCTCTTCTTCGTTCTCTTCTTCTTCCTCCTCCAACGTTAGTACTTCGTCTTCGGAGGTCGTGCGAGGCTGGAAGAAGGAGATATCAATTATCCTTCGCGGGTTCAGGTACTTTGCTTGCGATCGCGGGTTGTTGTTCCCTCCCTGCTCTTCAAGGCAAGCCGACCACTGCAGATAGGGCGTCTGTGTTCGCGAAAGGACGTGCGGGACTGGGCTTTCGTCACACTGCGAGATGATGTCGAGGGGGAGATCGTCGACCAGCTGCGCCGCCTGCGCCCGGGGGATTGTGAGTTCTCGCACGATCAGCTGTCGATGGTCGGGCTGCACCGATCCGGAGAGAAACCCGAGAAGGTCCCCCTCCACCTCCATCCTCCAGGCTTGGACGATCAGCAGCTCCACGTATCCAATCCAGGCGTGGTGCTCGATGTCCCGCGTCCACATCAGCTCCACCCCGACCAGACACACCGAGAGATCGATGAAGTGCTCGCACCACTGCTCCCACTGTCTTCGATCGAGGGGGGGGGCAGCGAGTGGTTCCAGACAAAAGGAGAGACGGGGGCAAAGGCTAGATTGCCAAAAGGTATGGAAGAGAGAGGGGAGAGCAAAGGTAGAGAGCTGGGATCGGTTAATTGAGGGCGTTGAAAGGGGATGAGTTCTGGAAACGCCACCGCTGGCTCGTGTCGAGACGTACCTAGCCCTCCGACGTGGATGCTGTCAGCGACGACAAGATTGTCACCGTGTCGAGCAAGCCACTGATCCCACTTCCGCAGCTCCGCCTGAATGGCCGTATACTGCAGAGGATCTACTGCGCTGATATCACCGCTGAAGACAACAACGGTCGACACGTGGCTGACTCCCGGTGCGGACAGCCGACGATAAGTCAATGCCTCGGCCAGAACGAGTGTCTGACAATGAGCGGATAAACGGAATTTCGCCGCTGCGTACACCCTCGTTGTGCTGAAGAATTGTACGAACCGAAGAAGGTCTAGACTGATCCGCAGATGACAGACTTGTCGGATTGCCGAGAAGTCGCCACGTGGCGCCAGCATGTGATCGCCGAGAGCTCGCTTGGTGGAAAAACTCATGGCGATGGCGACGGAGATGGAGTAAGAGAAGGGGCGAGAGCCTCAGGAAGAGGAGAGGGCGATAGGAGTCGTCGTCCTCCTCTGTAGCAAAGGAGGAAGCAGACACAACTGGAGATGGAGAGGAAGGGAGGGGCCTCAGATAGGACACGTGGCGAGTGATCAGGCGAGCCGATTAGCTGCCGAAGTCCTCAGGCACGAGCCGCACTGTATTCACTCTGTTCGGTCCAAGCTCGACTACGCGGAATCGCCCGAAGAATCGTGGCGCTAGCTTACTCTGGCGAGCACATTTCCTTACCTGCACGATATCCCCTAATTTGTACTGGGGCCGTGGACCTGCATTCCCATTTCAGGCCTCGTAGCTATGGACTTGTCGGTCGTGGGCCAACTCAGTCATTTTATGGCGCTTTCGGGCTAATCGGGGAAGGGACCGCTCCATCAGCCGCCGGTTCAATGTGGATTCATCGGGGAGGCTCGGTATCGAGACACAAGCTACGCTATTGGTTCGTAGTTGAAAGGGGCTAAGGCCCGTCGATTCGTGGGCGTTCCTCGATGGACCGCCGAGATGTGATCTACGATATCGGGCCAGGGTCTCGGATCCCTTGCCACGATGTTTCGTCGTAGTGCAGTCTTTATCACCCGATTTGCGTTTTCTACCAGTCCGTTAGATTGCGGCATGTGGGGTGAAGTGTTCCGAATGGTGACGCCGTGTACGACCAGATTCCTTAAAACTTCCCCCCCGAATTTCACCCCGTTGTCGGTCAGAATTTCCTCCGTGTCCTGATGCATTCCTAAAAACCGGTTGAAGTATCGCGCGATTTTGGCTGCGTGTCGCGTACGACACGGATATGCCTCAATCCATTTCGAAAAATGGTCCACAAATACTAGTAGGATTGAATACTCGCAGCTAATAGGTCCAGGGGGCACCATAATATCGGTAGTGTCCATACTAACCCTTTGAAAAAGTCGTTCGACTACCGTTGGCACTATCCATCTTGGTGGCTGAATCGGCGCCTTGTCAGCGGCGCAGACTTGGCAGTTCTGGACGATGAACTTAACATCGTCGCGAATGTTGGACCAATACCACTAATTTTTATCGATTGTTTTTTTCGTGATCCGTACGGCAAAATGGGTTGCAGTTTCCTCATGCGCCGTCTGAACCCAGCCATACCTCATGAACGGGTGCAGCACTACCATCCAAATCCCACTACCATTTGTCTTCCGTTTTTCTAACCGACCCTCGTTCCAGCGATAGTCCCGAGCCCTGTCGTTGGCCCTCCTCAGGTGGCCCTCCTCAGGTCCTCCTTAGTGAAGTCCTGGAGGGGGTTACGTACCAAGGTGGCGATCAAGGCAATATTCGTCCATACTTCGGGGGCAAGTTCGGCCCTTCGAAATTTTCGGGGTTTTCTCTAACCCTTCTGACGTGGCGTCAAGAAACCGAGCCTCGGTCGGGATCTTATCAACCCGACACAAGGGGCACAACCAAGGCTTATCGTCATTTCTATACTGGATGCACGAGCCGTGGGCTCGTGCGACACACTGTCGACAATCTACCCACTCTGCATATCCTTCCCCACTAGGAGGCATAGGGATCGAGTAGACGCGCGAGATTGCTTCGCAAAAATAGCAAAATTTGTCGGGTAGGGAGAGAAGAGATGAAGATGAGAGGGGAGAGAGAGGAGTTGCAAGATTACCTCCATCACACATTGCCACTTGTCTGCTTCTTGCCACGTGGAAGGACTGTCACCTGTCCATACTTGGGTCCGTTCCTCGATTCCGGTTCCTTCCACGGAATGATTTCTTCCCCTTTAGGTACCTTAGCTGGTCGATGCAGACGTGTCAGCCCGTCCGCGTTGTCGTGCCTCTCCGTCTTCCGGTGGATGATGTCAAAATCGTACTCCTGTAGGCGCACAACCCATCGTCCAATCGTACCCGTGTAATTAGTGAGTCTCTTCAGTGCCAGCAATGGCTCGTGGTCTGTCACAAGGAGGAACTTTTGTCCCACTGCGTAGCATTCGCCCTGCGAGGCCGAATCGTTTCTCCGCTCGTTTGGCACTGTACGAGACGCGTACTTGATGACGTGTTCTGGACCGTCATTCCCCTTTTGCGCTAGGATAGCAGAAATCATCTCCGGCTGCCAGTCGGTGATGAGAATAAACTGCTTCATAGGGTCTGGCCGGATCAAAATAGACGCTGTAGCCAGGGCGTCTTTGAGAGTGGCGAAGGCCCGTTCGCATTCTGCGTCCCAACTGAGGGGCTGGTCCCTCCGTCGCAAGTTCGTCAAAGGTCGTGCAATCGCAACGAAGCCTTTGATAAAACGACGGTAGTACGACGCTAGTCCCAAGAAAGCTCGAGCCTGCGTCAATAACGTGGGAATAGGAGCATCTTTTACTGCCGCCGCAGTGCCGCGACCTTTCTCGAATCTGGCCGCAGTCCTCCACGTGTCACCACGTAACCCAAGAACGCGATTTGCGAGAGAAAAAACTCGCTCTTTTCGAGCGCGATCTTGAACCCGACATCTCTCAGAGCTCCCAGCGTCCATTCGATATGCTGTGCATGTCCGTGATAGGTTTCCGAGTAGACCAGGATGTCGTCCATGTATACGATGACGCAGAAGTTGATCATTCCCTGAGTCAGCCGCGTCTTGTTAACGAAGTTCTGAAAGGTTACGTTCATGGCCCGCTGAAACGTGGCAAGTGCGTTGCAAATCCCCATAGGACACCGAACCCACTGCCACGTGCCTTCAAACAATACGAAGGCCGTTTTCGGTCGATCTTCCTCCTTAACCAGAATGTGATGGAAGTCGTGACGAATATCAAACTTACTAAAATAATTAGCACACCCAATCGCATCAAGCAAATCATCAATCTTGGGAAGGGGGTACACATCTTTGATCGTGATATCATTCAGCTTACGAAAATCGATGCATATGCGAATCGATCCGTTCTTTTTTGGCACTAATACTACCGGGAATGACCAAGGTCCCACTGCAGGTTCGCTTGAGGTGCAACTGAAATGTGTCCGGCCGTGGAATGTGGTATTATGTCCATAATTGCGGATCATGCAGCAGTATGTGGGTTTAGTGTGGTACAATACGAGCCGCATGCAGTGCCACGTCGATTGGGCACACAGTCCAACTGGCCAATGGGGGCACTGTGGGTAGAACCACCACATAACATTGCCCAGCTTGGCTTGAGGCGCACACACACACACACACACACACACACACACACACACACACACAC